CCTAAGCTCCGGGTTCTTTTATTCGATATTATTACAAATTTAATTCGTTGCTGTCTATGCCTAGACCACGGTCATTGCCCCGGCCAGGCCAGGGCAGTGATAATTAGATACGAGTTTTCACTCTCACGAGTTAATATAAAACCTCTACATATGTTTTAAACAACAAAGAAACTTTGAATTACCCCAATGGCATCCATGTCATGTGTGAACCGTGAAGCTAGAACTCAGATCCGAGCAGCATAAGAATGCGGTACCGATCAACTGCATCACAAGGGAACCAGCCTTCTCTTGACAAATTGTGAAAAAAAAAATTGTAAAACATCAATACAAAGACTAGTACAAGTAAAGTCTTAACCAGTCAAGCTACTTATGAATTATTCTAACTTTGATCAAGAAAAACTCAAATAACAAATGAAATTGAGTTTGAGTAATTTAATGTCAATATTTACAATTTCACCGAATTAAATAGAGCATACTAAATCGAATTCAAGTGATTCAATTAAATTATGAATTAAATTCGAGCATGAAAAATGAAGCTTGATCAAATTCAAACAGTGTTATACAATCCCCAAATGAAGAATTGAGAGGAAAGAATAAGCAACCACAACCAGGAAGCAGAATTCTCATGTTAGAGACTGCATGAATCTGAGAAAAAACCAACCTGTCCATGTATGATTTTCACATTCAAGGTGTCATAAAAATGTGTACCCTTTACACCAGAATTTAAAGAACTTAGTGTAAAATAAAAGTAAAAACCGTATTTGCACAACAGAAACTGGAAATATGTATTTATTCTTGTTCAACAATGGCCAGCTGTAATTTCGGAACTCGTTAAAGGGTGAATCAACATACGAAACCCTACAAAACTTCAGGAACTTATTCTTGCTCATTTAAATAGGAAGTATATATCCAATGCTAATCGTGAAGATAATATCACAAGCGAAAAAAAAAAATTACACAGCAGTTGCTACTAGGCCTTCATACATTAAGTAGCACCCTGCGAGGGTCTTCCACAACATCTTTGATTCGAAGCAAGAAGAAGACAGTCTCTCTTCCATCAATCAGCCTATGGTCATAAGTAAGGGCAATGTACATCATTGGTCTTGGGACTATGTTACCTCCGATAACCATTGGTCGGGACACTATTGAGTGCATACCCAAGATAGCCGACTGCCAAAAAATTGTTTAATCACGTGAGATTCTCTTTCTGGTCTCAAACAAAAGCTGAAGATTAGAAACACAGAAGAGCGAGCGCAAACATCTCTATTAATACGGATGTCACAAGTGTATGGAACCCTCATACATAAACAAGCATGCACAATTATTCAGTTTGTGACCACTAACCTGAGGAGGGTTGATAATTGGGGTACTCAACAAACTTCCATAACACCACCATTGGATATTGTAAACGAGCCTCCAGCCATTTCATCAATTGATATGGTCCCATCATTTGCCTTCTTTGCGAGGCTGTTGATTGTTTTCTCTATCTCAGCAAAATTCATCTTATCAGCATCTCGAATAACCGGAACGACAAGCCCCTGACAGGAAAGATAAAGAAACAAAAAGCTTAACATAGAAACATGAATCTCATTCTTCTTTTTCTTTTTCTTAACTTTCAGTGCCCATGAAGGATGGGGTGATCTATGCATATATTTATCAATAGAGGCCTATTTGATTGGTGGAGAAACTTTGAAGATTAGCAACAAACCAAAATGAGAAAAGACTTGACATAATCATCTAGATACCTCATTTTCTCTTTTGTCATGAAATAAAATAAAGCAACTTCAGCTCAGCAAATAAAGAAAACAAGTAAAAAAAAAACCCTTCAAAAAATCTATAATGTTTAATTGTCAAAGGACACAGTTTTGAACCTATTGATTACTCATTTCAACTTTACAAACTGCTCTAAGTTCATAGGAAATTCTTAAATTCAATACATTTTTACATGATGTTTAAATTTCTTTCAAAACAAGCCAAGAAAGAATGCTGAGAGAAACACTAACAATCCAAGTTTCAACAAGCCATTAAATGGATAAATTGCAATTTGGCAAATAAATCACAAAAAAGATTACCTTCGGAGTACCAACAGCAATGCTGATATCAATATAATCTCTATAAATAATATCATCCCCGTCAATTGGCAAATCAATCACAGAAAAGATTACCTTCGGAGTACCAACAGCAATGCTGATATCAATATAATCTCTATAAATAATATCATCCCCGTCAATTACAGCATTTACTATAGGCTGATGCTGAAGTGCACTAATAGCAGCCTGAAACAAATAATATAGAAGAAATGATAAGGGAAAAAAGAGAAAGCAAAGTTAGTGAAGACAGGCCATGAGTGCATATGTGACCATTTCAAGAACAAATTTTGCATACTTTAACAAATCCTGACATAAATCCCAACTTGACACCATGTCTCTCAACAAAAGCATCCTTGAAATCAGAGCGGAGCTTCATCAAATTAATCCTGCAATGAGAAGCAAATCAAAAAGAAAAGGAATCAAATCAGCATAGCCTTCATAAAGTAAAATGATCTGGTTAACTTCACGGAAAACTTGTATCAGAAAAGGGAAGCAAATAGTTAGGTACAGTCAAAGAATCATCTGAACCTAAAAAAAACCAAAATATAAATGTTTAGAAAGTGAAGTAGCACAGACAGCAGGATGCCAAACACCTGATGCAAAGAACTAATATGAAGATAACTGAACTCACATGTCAACTTCATTGAATGTTGTCAACATCGCAAAAGTATTCTGAGAATCTTTCAATCGTGTAGCAACCCATTTCCTAAGCCTTGTCATAGGAACCTGTAATCATGAAGCCATACACTCAGGATATTTTCTAAGATGCTAACATCATTTTTCACAAAAGGCATCAGAAAATTCTAAGCATACCCTTTGGATAACATTTGGATGCAAACAGCTAATGAAAAGACTTACTCTTCTTTCCCTTTCCTTGGGTGGTAGTATAGGTTCAGTAGCAGTTCGTTTTGGAGGTGGTGGAGAAGGGGCTTTAGGCTTCTCCACAGCAGGAGAGACTTCGACTTTAGCCTTTGGCATATCCTCCTTTACAGTTTCACCTGGAGGAGATGGCTTGGAAGCAGGTTTTTCTGATTTCTTTTCAGAGGGGGCAGCAGGTGCAACACCATCAGTGGACTTTGAAATGACAGCAATCTTGGTACCTGGTTCCACAGTATCTCCTTCCTTGGCTACATACTGGCAAGAATTATGACATTAATATTCAGGATCCAATCCACTTCCCTTCCTCCCAGAAATGAGAAGGCAGGAGTCTAGGAACGACCAACAAAGCTAGATACATGCGTGCATGCAATGTTTGACCCAAAGATCCAGATTTATTGATATATTACCTCTTGTATCACACCAATGTTGGGGGCTGACAACATCAATTGTTACCTGATGGAAAAAAACACCACAGGTATGAAGGGTAATAAATATCTTCTTGATAGAGGAAAGGAGAAGAATAGTACCTTATCTGTTTCTATCTGAGCGATTGGTTCGTCAGCTGCTACTCTATCACCAGCTTCTGCTCTCAAATTTCAGATACATACACAATCAAACACTTACAACCCTGAAAACGAATATTTCTAGTGAATGAATGGAAATTACAATAGTGGAAAACATACTTTTCAAGAATGTTGCCAAAGTGCCATCAGTAATTGATTCTCCCATAAAAGGGACCACAGCATCAACCAGATCCCCTTCATCACAAGTTAAGTAAAATAGGAAAGTCAAAATCTTTAAATTTAACATAATTACGACATAAAAGGGAATTCATCCTTATTTTCAAGCAGACCTGTTCATAATCAGTATGTACTGTTTGAAAATGAAAAATGCACTAAAAATGCCAAAATGGTGGAGGTGCAAGTCTAGTACCACCAAAGTTTACACCAAATCATTATACGACTAAATTGCAGCCAAAGTTTTGAAACTATTGCATTCACACTTTTCCAGAGAAAGATTTTAAAAGAAATTTTGAACTAAAACTATTTTCTTCTTTTGACATATTGCCTGACGTAGTACCTCTTGGGCAGCCCAACTGCTAACTGAAAATTGGGTTTGACAATTGTTAGATGTTAATGGTCTATCCCAGATAAGCGGTGATTCAAATGAACAATTATAATGCACAGGATCTAAATTCTAGCAGAAACCAAAAACACACATCCCTATGTTAATAACCATTCAAAAAAGACCAAAAAGAGAAAAAATGCTAATAAAACTTAGGCCAAATAAATATCATTAAGGAAATTATTCAATAACATACCATCTCTAGAAGAGAAAGCCCCGCACAACTTTTGCATGATAGCCTTTGACTGCATGCTAGAAATGACATCCCTGCCCACAAACAAAGCTTTCAGGGAAAAGAAGTGAAGAAGTGCTAAGGAGCAGCAAACTGATTTAAAGAATTATATATATATATATATATATCATGGAAAGAGAATTTCCTTTACTAGTTACCCTAAGTAATCTAGTTCCTGATAAACAAATATGAGATGGACTGTGCATTGAAATGGGCCTGCTATTAAAGTTAGATATACAATTGTCAGAATAATCCAGTAGTCAACTCATACCCTGTGACAGTTTAATTCCTAACATTGATGTGCATTACAAAGTTCAGAACCAACTAACCTTGTCTTTGTTAAACCAGCTGAACAGCCTATAATAATAATTTAATATTTCATTAATAATGAAGAAAATCAACAAAATTATGCCAACAAAAGAAGAAAAACCACCCAAAAGATATACCTGGCAGAACAAGATGAAAGAAGCTTCGGACATGGGCAATTCCTCTCGGTTGAAGTAATAGTATGTGTTCAAGCACTTGAAATTTCAATCTCATGAGAACATTTACCAATGGATGACAAAAATTCAAAGTCCAAATGATTAAAAAGAAAAAAAGAAAAAAGTAACATTATTTCTAAATTAACTAAAGATTAAAATTTCAAATTTTATGGACAATAAAACGTGCGATTTTTTACTTTAAATCAAAGGACTAAGTTTGAATTATTTTTGAAAAAAAAAAAGAGAATATTTTACCATATGATCTTGCACTTCTTTTACTTTATATCAACATTTTAATATTGCAAGGCCTAAATAAATCAACCATCTTCGACATCAGTTATAGATTTAATAGCATCAAGATCAATTGAAATTCAAAGAAACTGAACTAAGTTCATGATTACCAAATCTAATTCATTTTCAACTGAATTATTTATCTCTTTTCCAGCATTACAAGAAACTCTAGATACTGAAACACCCGATCGAATCACCAGCAATGACTTCCTTAATACCTGAAAAATCACAAAAAAAATGAAAAAAAAATTAACAAAATCCTATGCTTTAGCTAAATGCATTACAATTTAAACAATAAAAGTTCTAACCAAAGGTGATGAGCCTCCGCTCGCAACTTTTCTCCTTAAAGCGCCCAACATCACCGATATTCAATCCCTATTCTTTTTTCAAACTCAGAAGCAAAAAATAAAAAACCAATAATTTTGAACGCAAAAAATCAAATAAAAATCAATAAATTATAATGTAACTTACCAGATTTCAGTGTATAAGCAGTATATGAATGAGACGTGAAGCAAAGTAATATCGAAGAGAAAGCAGTTTGACTTGATTGATGCAGACACAATTGAGAGTCGTCGAATAGAGTATAATTTAAAAAAGAGGGTTTTTAAGAGAGATTTGGCTTTTCTTTCTTTTGTTTGGTTCAAGAGAAAATGAGAGAGAGAAACCGCGAAGATGCGGGTTTTGCGGGTCTGTTGTATCCGCAACGGTCTTACGTGGCATCGTTTTATTGATAGATACAAGTAAGGATTCTTTTCTTCCCTTTAACCGGGAGAGGAAGGAAAAGTCGTTACAGCGCCGTTTCGAAAAGTGACACTTTGAGCTTTGTTTGGGTTCGAAACTCAATGTTTAGGCTTCGTTTGGCTTTTATTTGGATTTAAAAATTTAAAACTTTTAAGACCGGCATCTCATAATTTATTATGATAAACTTTTATTTCTTCCATCTTAATTTCTATGTTCATATTTATTTATATCTTAAAATTATATATTTTTTTATATCTAAAACTCTTACATTTTATATTTTGAAATTATTATATATATATTTTACATTTTAACATTAAAAATCATGAAAATTTTTATAAAAATTTAAATTAATATATAAATACAAAAATCAAAGTTTTTTTTTTTTTAAACTCATTAAAGTTTAAACACAAATATTTGAACTAAGGGAATATATTTAATTTTTAATATATCTTTAAGAATGTGAAAATATTAAAAAATTTCATTAGTAAAAATTTTTCTTATTACTATTATATGTATATCATGGTACTAATAATAGTTGATTTTTATCTTAAAAATTAAATAATTAAAGTGATTTTATAGATAATCAAGGATTACATAGTTTTCGTTGATTGATAATTAAATAGTTAATTGATTTAAAAAAATATTATTTCAATGTACTTGATATCATAAATTGTTTTTAAATTGACATTTTGAGTTGCTTTAGTTAATAAAAATTAAGATATTTCTTTTGTTTCATTAATTGTTTTTAAAATCTCTCACGGGTAATTAAGGTTAAGGACACAAGATTGTATTTATCGTGAAAAGTGAACCTTGGGGTATCTTCAATTTTAGTGATAGAAATGCAAAATAAGTTTTTTCAACTTTACTTAAAAATCTAGGAGTAAGATTCAAAGCTTCACTTAGTTCATGTAGTCACTTGTAATAGGTAATATCTAGTAAGTTTAGGGTTAGAATCTCAACCTTTGCACTCATTTCCATTATCCCAAAGTTTGCGATATCATAAAAAAAATGCTGAGAATCGGGTTAAAACTGATGATTCAAATTAGAAGCACATACTAGAAAATAAGGTTTTATCGAGATGAAAATTTTTTCATCGGTAACAGCCAAATTCTTCGGTCAAATGATAATATTATTGACTAATTTTATGAGAAAAAAAATTCCATCGGTATTAATTAAGTCGGTACTAAGTATTACGTCCGTATAAGCAAATCCATTATAGGGCCTACCTAGTGTAGCCGAGTTCTGGTGGGTTTGGCTGGCTTTGGGCTTCATTCTAGCTATGGCAGTTGGTTTTACTTCCTCGACAACTTTCTTTCTTGGTGGCATGGTGTTTTAGCTTGGCCAAAAAAAGAAATTCCCTTACCTGGTGCATTAAATGCTTGTGTCAAGCTAAGTTGGAAAGGTAAGACTCTAAAATCACAAAGGAAAGAAAGAAAGCGATTAAGATTAAATGCTAGAGTGTCCCTAAAGTTTGTGCTTTGATGCTCAAGTCAAAAATTAGCCAAAGAGGAAAATAGAAAAGAGAATAGAGAAGATAGAATGACATGTCATGTCTAGATGGTACTTGCATAACTAGTTATAGTTTAAAAGTAAGGGGTTTCGGGTAACTTAGGTTGCCCAAAGTTAGTCATATGGTTAAAGATGACCTAAAGTATCAAGTTAACTTGGATATTGATTGTCCACCAAAAGGACGACAAGTCAACATTGAGGGGAGCCTGTTGGGTAGATTAGTAAGGTGGTTGAGCTAACGTGGTACTATGACCTTAAGTTAATCAAACATGTAAGGTCAGTCCAAAAGTCTAAAATATCCCTGGCTATTTGTTGGTAGTCTCTAATGAGAAAAGATGACTAAAATAACCTTTGGACCCAAAAATACCCATAGTAGTTAGTTTTTAGTTTAATTAATCATATTTAATAATTGACAGCTTCAATTAAAAAAAAGTATATTAGTTAATTAATTGATTCCATGTAACTAGCTGATGGATTGAACATTTCATATGTGTATATATTCAAGTATTCCATTAAGAATAAAAAAATAGATATGACTTTTGTTTTCATTAAGAACAAGAGCACTTCATTTTGATAATTAAAACCATCAAGAACAAGAAATTAAGCATAAGTAAAGAAAAAGTTAGTTAGGTACCATTGTTATGGCATGGAAATGTGTTTTGAGTCCTTATTGAAACTTGTACTCAAATTTGGGCATCCTTTTTACTCCAAAATAACACAAAAAGGGAATCCAAAATGATAACCCATTTGAGCGAAGGTATTTAGGCTTAGAAGCTTTGAAAGTTTCAATCCTTTTAATTTAAGGAATACTATTCCTTTTCCATCATCTCAAGTTTAATTCATTTTAATACCCAAAAACTTGCTTTGATTTGGAATCCAAATTAATTTCAATATTTTTTAGTTTTGAAAGAGAATAGGTAACAATAATTGGAAACAAGCTTTGAAATTGTTACACCCATAAATCCATATATGTTTAAGATAAGGAAAGGATATAAGTTGGAGATGACTTTATAATAATGATGCTATTGAAGTTTGGTTTATTTCAATGATTTCTTTTGACTCATCACAACACTCTGTATCCAAATAGTTCATGTGTGGTAAATTTTTAGCCAGTATAAAAGAGAAGATAGATTTTAACCTATTACAATTTGACACATTTAACTCTCTAAGACATTAAAGGCTTGCAACTGGGAAATGACCTTATAACTAATGTATACGCTTTAGATTTATAACCTCTATTCTTGAGAGAAAATATTTAGCTTATTTGAAGTATCCTTCCCAATTAATTATGTTGCACATGTTGTTAGGTCTTAACCCAAAAAGTTATAGTTCATATAAATATAAAAAATATCATAATTTCATTAAAAATTGAATAAATTACAAAGGTTGAAGAATGTATAACTTTAAACATATGTTTAATTGGTTTTCAATTGTCAATTAATTTTTTCCACATAGTGCAATGTCATCAAAGTTTGCCTATATATATACGTCATCAATTTGAATTAATAGGATCATCACTAGAATTTCCCATCCAAATTAGGTTTCATTAAACTCAAATAGTTTGGCTTAATCACACGATAACAAAGTAAGGGCTTAAGTGAAAATTTGATTAAATATAGTTAGATGGCTTATTTTATTGTTATGCCATTACTAAAGAAAACAATTTTGTTTTTAGCTTCCATTAGGTCTGATCTTTTCATCTTTTAATTAAGTTTTTAACCTCCTATTTTTCTTATGCACGCTTTAAGGTAACCACGATTTACATCTTTATCTTTAGTAACTTTCTCCAATTGACGTTCCTATACAACAGCTTAATAATTCAATTTGTCTCAATTTTTCTTGAAGTCTTAGATTCTCTTTTGTATCTTTTCTTTTTCTGCCTCGAATTCCAACCTTGTGATTTTGATTTCCAACATCAGTGCCTTTGCCCATGGATCAACTAGTTGAGCAAACCATCATTTGGAGGGTACCATATTATTAACCCATTTTGCTCTCCATACCAAGTATCCTAGAGTGACATCATGAGTACATCTTCTCAGCTATGATCAGTAGGTTTATCTCTATGCTTTAGTGATATTGTGTAGTCTAACCACATTGTTAAATTTTCCATAATCGAATTCTAATTGGTTCAACCCATGAGTCATCTGAACAAATTGTTTAGACCTATACTATCGCCTAACCATAAAGTGTGTAAAACTTATAACTCCCTAAATTCATAAAAATAGACCCACGTTTTATCACTACAACTATACAGTATAGAGGCATGAAGCATCCAAAGTGCTCTCCAAATCAAATCTTCTATATTAAGATTTCAAAAGAATGCAACCCATTGCTCTTTAATGAGGTCCTTCTACGGATATCAGTAGGTAGGGTATAAGGTGGATAGAGCATTCCTTATCCCATTCTTGAATTTTTATATTATACCTATCTCGGTATCCACATCCAATAGGTATTTCAAATCTATCCTCACCCTCATCCTCTTAAGTATTTAATGGGTATAGGTAATCCTTATATCCATAGCTTCTTTTTTTTTAAAAAATAAAAACTATAATTTATTTTTTTAGCTTTTTTTATTTTTATATTATATATTTAGGTAATTTTTTCATAAATATATATTAATATATATATTTCAATAAAAATATATTAATTCTAATTAATCTAAAATAATAATTTATATCATTTAACAAAAAATCTATTTATTAAGTATTTATAAATATATATGTAGAGTACAAATATGGGGTGGGTGTTATATTACCCATCTCCATCCTTATACCTAATAAAAATTTAAAATCATACACATTCCTATCCCTATACCCACAATGTAATACCCATTTCTATCTTTATTTAGGTAAAAAATTAGATTCTTCATTAGGTATAGGTATCTTTAGGTTCTTCGGCCATTCTTTTTTATAGAACTTTGTGATAGGGACTAAGATTTCTTGCATGGTTTAGAGGAACTTTATCTTTACCCTAAAAGTGGCTTTGAAGCTAGATGTATAAAATCTATACACATCTCAAAAAATGTAATTCTCCTTTTCTCCAACAACAATTCAATGATTTAATTATCTTTGTTAAAATAACCATTGAGGGATTGAAATATTTATGCAACTATGCTGAAGAATCAACCATTTATACCTCGACATGCCCTAATACCCTCAGAAAGATTAGCAAACCATAAATCGCAAAGGTAAATATTTTAATGACTCGCTCTTCATTGTGGTTCTTAAGTTTAAGATCAAGTAAGAAAGCCTATGGGATACCATCAATGATTCTTTTCTTCTTATCGATCACTTTGACATCCACACCAGTTATTTGTAAAGCTTTTTTTGATAACTTGATTTCTTTTATTCGTTCTAGTATATCCTATCTGAACTTGAAAACTTTATATAAAGCAAAGTGGAATATTTCTCAATAGTTGATGTCGTATATTTTTTGTTGAAAGTTAAGCAATGGTATGATGAGGTTCCAAAATCATATTATCACCTTAATCTACCTTTCATTTGTCTTTGCCGAAATAAGTAGCTCAATATTTCTATACTTCTTGATAAAAGCATTTTTTCTTTCTGCCTCCATTAATTCCAAATATTTTCCAACTCAATCAAGTCATTCTAACATAGGTCTAAGTGGACTATTACAAGACATATCCTTTAATTAAACAATCTCCATCCTTTTATTGCCCATTTTCAGATTGATCATTAATTTCCCAATGTGTCTTACTAATAGTAAATATTGAAAGCAAATCCCGAGATTTCATGATCACAATAGTAGTTTTTTTGGCTGGACATTATCTAAAATAAAAATACACCTCAATGCAACTGTTTTATATTTTTGATGATGCATGTAAAAAGGAAAAAATAAAAAAGTTAGTAAAAATAGATTTATAATGAATAAAATTTCAAAATAGGAAAAGAAATTGGTTTCATTGTTTTGAAAACATTTGCCTTTTTACTTATCAAAGAAAATTCTTTTTTTTAAAAGAAAATATATACATTTAGGCTTTCATCAGGTATCGTAGAAACCTCAAAACAGTGGTGTCATCCTATTACAGATATCGAGATGCTATTAAACTTCAACTATTCTACGATCCATGTAGTCGTCCAAAATCAAGTAAAGGGTAAGAAGTGTTTTTCATGTGTTCTAATTTTGTGTGCATTCTATGAAGAAGGTTCTGCATGGTTCTACTTATAGGGTGGTTTTTTATGGTTTTCTATATGCTTGGCTGGGATTTTTACGTGTCTAAAGATTCTCAAATTGCTTTTCACTATTACCCATACTAGTCTAGTAAGGTATCTTGATCTTAAACTATTATAGGATACAAATGAAAAATGTTTAATATAAATAAGAGTATTTTAGATGTATTCACCTCATAAAAGTGTAAGTACTTTACTCCCTCCTAAAAAGATTGGAGCTCACGTATAAAACTTATGCATGTAAATGAACACATAATTGAATGTGCCAAACAAACAAGCATTTGATACTCTTTACCAAGATTCCAATATCTTAAATGCCTCATAATTTATTAGACAACAGAGAAAATGCCATAATTAACATAAGTAATGAATGATATAAATAAACATGAATGTAGGCAACATTATTTTTTTTTTTGCAAAATTTTTCATTTTTCAAAATTTTTGTTTTTGAAAAATAGAATAAGGAAATTACTATTAAATATCAATTAAAACCATTAAATCGAAACTTAGGATAGCACATAATTTATTTTTGGCTCGACTTTAAAAAAATATCTCTAGTGAAGTGGTCAAGTTGTCACACCATACGGGTTTAGGAATCTGACCACCTCGTTAAAATTTTAAAATTAAAACAATGAGTTGTCACAAATCTTTATTTGAGTAGATATGATTGGTTACTTAAAAAATTATTTTTTTAATAAAAATTTTAAAATTAATTAAAACTTATTAAAAATATAATTTTTTGGTATGCAAAAACACATCTGAGTTAAAAAATATGGTTATACATGGGGAAGTATTAACACCCCATAATACCGGTTAAAAAATAGTCTCAATTAATAACATATATTCCTTTAATATTGATAAAAAAAATGGCCTAAATTTTAAAATTTAAAAATAATGTCTTAAATCCCATTTACTATCATAAAACCCCCTTTTTTGCCATCATTTTTAGAATCATTTTATTTAGAAATAAAATAAAAATTTTGTGTTTTGAATTTCTCAATATCCAGATAAAATTTAGAAAAATGTTTTTGACTTAGGTATTTTCATGATAATCCTTAAAACCAAAGATAATATTTTTTTCATAAGAAATAATTATTAAGAATCCCTTTAATATTTAGGCAGAGTTTCAAGAAATATTTTACTTAGGATATTATCTTATTTTGTTTTTAAAAAATAATTTCTTTTATAGTCATCTTTTACTACACTATATATTTTTTAAGAATAGTAAAATGTATGTGATGTAACATGAAGCAAATTAATGATGCAAAATAAACTAAAAGATAAAAATGACCAATTTAATTCATATTATAAATCTTTAACTTTATCACTTTATATTTTTTCATTGTTGTTTTTTTTTTAAATATTTAGTGATAAAATGAAAATATTTTTGTGTTTTTAGAAGTAACCTTTGTGCATTATCAACATTATAATATTTATAAATCTGATAATATTAAATTTTTAAGTTCAATTCTCATCATACGTGAAATTAATTTAATTTTATATTAAATTTATTTAATTATGTGTCGATTTATTTATTTGATTTAATTCAATGATTTTCTTATATAATACTTTCTTATACTATTAAGTTCATAAAAAAATTAATAACTAAAGAATTTCCTAAAATTTTCATTGACATAGCAATTTTTTTTTGGAACTCTTGAAGGCTTGGCAACAAGAGTAGCTTTTTTGCTTTATAATAACCAAAAAAAGTCATATATAATCCTAACTAGAAATAAGGAGAATGACTTTTTGGTTTTAATTTGAAATTCAAAACTAATAATTAAAAGTCCCCTCTCCTCATGACCTGAATATCATAATCACTTATTATGATTAGACTTGATAATTTAAATTATGATATGATTATATAATATGAATACAATATAAAATTAAATACGAAAGTGATAGAGTTTAAAAATTATAATAATAACTATATATAATTTAACAAAATAAAAATATATATTTTATATTTTTATATCGATACGAAATATGACATAATTTTTGTGTAAAACACAAAACGAATACATGAATTTCATTATATTACACTATATGAATACGTGAATCGTCAGATTTACTTATGATAAACATGGTTAATCAATTAGAAAAAAAATGAAAAAAAAAGTATGTAAACATTAAGTTGCTAGCTATAAATTATTAGCCTAAAACACGAATGGTTTATATTTTGAATTTTTTTGTCCATGGAAATGCATTTTTTTAATAATAAATAATAAATCAATCAATCAATCTAGTAATGAAATAATTAAAAATTTAAAACTAGAGAAAATATTCACATGTATGCAAATGCATCTTCATAAATTAATTTCATTTCACACTGTTCAAAAAGAATGATATTCGATATATAGCTAGATCAAGACACAAGAATATGGATGAAATATGGACAATCTTCAATTAATTAACAAATCAGTGAAAATATGTTTATATTACCGAAATCAATAAAAACTAAAAGAAAATATAATAAAAAAGGCCAAAACCTTTTGTCCCTTTTCATAATAATGCTCCTTCCAACAATGTTTTATACCTTGGCCTTTGAGGAAAGTGATGGCCTTGGAGTAGCATGCTGTCTTCTTCCAAATTAATCACCCAAAAATTCCCACTAATTAGACGAATAATAAAAAATTATAAAGATCTCAGTGGAATTTAAAAAATTATATGATGTAAAAGTTGAATTACATAGTAGTATTTTTGCCATTTACATGTTTTGATTTGGTTATATTTTTATTATTCCTTTTTAAATGTCATGAATTCATCCTCATTATTGCATGGTATCTTTTTGGTATTATTGTTGGGGCGCTTCTACAAATTTTGCGACAACTCATAACAAATAATCTCTGCAAAGCATATTGCATATAAATTTGTGGGATAATTAACTTCCAATTCAATTTGGTTCCATATGGGTCTTGATTTTTTGAACACTATACTGTTTCATATGTATAGGATACTTTCATTTCAAATTAATATAAAAAATTGTCAAAACAAAATTTATTCATGTTTGACGTCCTATCAACGAGTTCATATAACATAGTGTATAAATAACATCATTGAATTAATTATTAAATCACCACAATAAAAACAAGCATGGAGAACTATCTATGACATGTAAGTAGACATAACTACATACTGCTCATACATACAAGCTGCTATAAGGAACTAATAAAGAACCAGTAAACCAAACTGAACACAAAAAACCATGTTTCTTTAGAGTACATAAATTTTGCGAACAATGTCTTGGCCAAGCGATAAGAAGAGGATTTAGGAGACATGTAAGCTTGAGTTCGAGTCCAAATAAAAAATAGATGAAATTTGTCTTACATGAATGGCTAAACATGACTTTATTTACAATATCAAACACGCAAATGCTATGAAATGTAGAGTAAACTAGTTCTTCACTGCAAAGTAAAACTGAAAAAATAGAGATCCAACCAGTTGACGGCACCATAAAACAGAAAGCTCCAACGATGATAAGCATAATCAAGTATCAACCACCTATCATTGAGGCAAAGAATGAATAAGAATTTAAACAAGAAGCTTGATTAAGGAAATCATAAATACATGGACAGAGGCAGATTCAAGATTTTTGTTGGGAAGTAATATTATCCATGAAAATAGTGTTTAAAAGAAAATTTTGAATGTTTATGGAAAATTTTCTTTTAAAATTTCTTATTTTCTAATTTTTAACAGTGTCCCAAAAAAGATATTGAGGGTATCCAACACAAAATTTTTCTTTAAATTTTTTTTATTTTCAATGTACACCCCACAATGCCATGTAAATCCAACACTAGACATGGAAAAAAGCCATATTTACTTGTTTAGCTAACAAGTTTCTCCTTAAATTTTCACTTAATAGCGTAACATTATCCTTGTTTCTCCCAGAGTCATATATAGAGGTATTTGATCTTTCCAACCAGCCCAAATTATATCATTGCAGGTGGATTGATTATCAACTATTTCTTCCATTGCGGTGAAACCTTCTGTTGTATTATTCTGAACTTGTTGGGGTTCCTTCACAACAAAAGACAATTCTCATTAAGTAAGTTATGCTAGAAGTAAGTAATTAATTAATTAATTATGCATATGACTTGTGTATGTATATAAAAGAGTCATCCAATTCATAATAATATGTAGTTATATACTAACATAACTTTTGTTTCCATCATCGTTTCATCATTAGTATCAATATGATCAAGAACAACAAATTAATTAATTCAGCATAATAGTTAGAAAAAAAAAGTCAGTTAGGGACCTCTGTTACCTCTGTTATGGCAGGCACAGGATGTTTTGAATCCATGATGACACTTGTGGTCAACTTGGGAGATTTGGTTATTTTAAACGACCACATATAAGGGAATCCGAAATAACAACCAGTTGGAGCAAAACTCTTTAGGTCTGATAGCTCAGAAAGATCCACTATTTCTAATCTAGGGAGCACTATTCCCTTTTGATCATCTTCAATGTCTAGTTCACCTTGATACCCAAAGACTTGCTCTAGTTTAGAAGGCCCTGTAATTTTGATGCTCTTGAGGTTGGCAAAAGAACAGGTGACACTAATAGGAAACAAGCTTTTCAAATTGCTGCAACTAGAAATCCGTATGTCTTGAAGACTAGGGAAGGATATAGTTTGGAGATGACCCTGTGATGATGATGCTATTGAGGTTTGGTCCATTTCAATGATTTCTTCTAGCTTCTCACAATACTCTATATTCAAAATTTTCAATTGCGGTAAATTTCGAGTAAGCAGAGAAGAGAAGAGAGATTTCAGCTTATTACAATTTGACACTTTTAAGTCTTTAAGACAAGGAAGGCTTGCAACTTGGATGGGACTCTGCAACTGATGTATACCCTCTAGATTTAAAATCTCAATCCTTAAGAGTAAGTGTCCATCTTGAATTTGAAAAATATTCTCCCAATTAATAGTGTCGCACAAGTTGTCTTGCTCCAACTCAGAACATCGTAATTCCTATATAAATATAAAAATGTCATAATTTCATTAAAATTTGAATAAATTACAATGATCAAAGAATATATGATTTCAAAAGTACAAAATCTAATACATATATATTACAAGATACAAAATTATCAGATAAGATGTGTTGATATATACATTTATATGAATAATTTCTCTTTATAACATGTAGAATAATGTTTATATTATTACATTATTTATCAAATAACTCTATTTAATAAATTATTTAAATTTAATATTTTTGAATATTTAATTAAATTCAAATCAAAATCTATAAAAAAATTTTGCACAAATTTTAAATTCAAATATATTAAATTATAATTTATTTTTTCTTTTTAAATTAATCATAGTTCCAAAAATATATATATTTATATGCTTAATATATTTTTATCTACCATCAAATAATTCTTTTTAATAAATTATCTAAATTTAATATTTTTGAATAATTATTTAAATTCAAATCAAACTCTAACAAAGGTTGAAAATTTTGCATAAGTTTTGCATTTAAATATATTAAATCATAATTTATCTTTTTTTTTTAAATTTAATCATAATTCCAAATATATATATACACTTAATAAATTCTTATTTGATGAAATCAGAATCTAAAATTGAAAATAAAGAGTTTATAAAGTGAGATCACCTTCTAACCAATCTTATTTTATTTGTTGTTATTAGAATTAGAAATTGAAAAATACAAGCCTTTTTTTTTTACTTGACAGTTATGATTTATTGGTTTTGATGGGAACGGACAAAAGTTAGAAAGAAGAGTAAACCACATCATACCGTGAACAAGTTCATTTTTGCCTTTATTATTCTCTTTTTTCTTTTATTTTCTTTTTTATTTGTAAAAATAAATATGTGATGGTGTTGGATTATTTTTACTTTTGTATATTTTTTGCTTAAATGACATTGATTTTTTTTATCAAATTTCAATAATGGAAAGAAAACATAGGTACATTTGGATTGATTTCAACTTGATAATAGGTATGGTTCATTACTATTTTTCATATTTTATTTTTTTTTATTTCCTCCATTTGTTTGTTCCTTCAAACTATTTATTTGGTCTTATTTCTATTATATGATATATACATTTGATTTGATTTATTCTAAAAAATTTTTTGATTTATATATTTTTATATATTTAGTTAAGTTGGATATTTGATACACATAAGTTTAAGAGATACTGTATATGCATTCTCAATTTGTATATTTGATTTTTTTTTATAAACGTATCTTTGACTTATGTTTTAAAAAAAGCAAATATATATGTTGAAGTATGTAGAAAATAAAAACTAATAAAGAGCAAATGGCTATGAACAAATTAATAATTATATATGCTCCATTGTTCAATCAAATTTATATATATAAAAGAAATTATTATTATTTGATGTTTTATTTTTGGTTCGGGTTTATAAGATTTAAGAGTTTATGAATGTTCTATTAATATAAATGTCTTTTACAATTTAATAAAATGATTTTTTTTTTTATATCCATATTAACATTATCATAAAAAATTATTAATTTTGACTATTAAAAGACTAACCCTTGCTTTTTTTATCAAAAAAATAAATAATTAGTAACAAAATTTTTCGTGTTTAGCAAATAAATAAAAAAACTAATTTTTTGATAAAAAAGAAAGGATTTTTGAAATTTTGTAAAAAATTAAACTTAAAACAAAAATATGTGAATGCTATCATTTAATCGTATCTTAAAATTTATGAATGTATGATTATATATAGTTGATTAATAAAATTTTAAATATTCTTTTATTAAGGAAATATAAAAAATTAAAGTTAATTAAAAAATAAATTTAAATTATGAAAATAATAACGTAAAACAAATACCATTCTCAAGATTTTATTATAATGTACAAATTAAATATATTTAATTGATTTTCAAATTCTATTTATTATATAAGCAAGTGAAATGTTATCTAAATGTTCTCTATGAGTACCATGTCATCAAAGTTTGCCTATATGTATGCATGCCAGCAGTTTGAATTCCCATCCAAATCGGATTTCATTAAATTAAAATAGTAGGATAGCTAAATTACACACAATAATAATGTAAGGGCTTAAGTGAAATTTTGATTATAATATGGCTAGAGAGCTTATTTTATTATTTTACCATTACTTAACAAGGTTTTTTTTTATTATTATTTTTAAATAACAAACAAGTTTAACTCAGTCTTGAATGAGTTGAACATAAAATATTGTTAAAGATGAGAGTTCAACATAAGTCTTGAATGATTTATTTTAATTTTTCTAATATAAAACTTACATAAGAACCCCTTTTTGAAAAGAGAATAAAAACTTTGATTATTTTATGAGTATAGAAAAGATTTGGGCCAAAGGTAAAATCTCAAACCATAATGTACGGAAAGGAGTATAAAATTACCTTTAGTTGAAGCCGTTTGTGGACTACTTGTTGAATAATGAACTTTGCAAATCGAGGACAAACCACTATGGTTAACCTCTCCAATGATGGTGGCAGAATGGCATTATCAACTCCATTCTTTTCTTTTGCCACATTGAAGACATATTGTAGTCTTGGACAACTATGTATTTCAAGAGATGTCAATTTTGGCAAGGGCGGAGGATGGAGAAAGCCACCGTCTGATTCTATATTATCATCAATTTCCAACTCAGTGGCAATATGTTCCAGTTCATCGCAGTACTCTATCTTGAGTTGTTCTAGCATCACCAAGCTTTGAACAAGTGATGGTGAGAAGAGATATTTCAATTTATTGCAGCGACTAATTACTGCAACCTTCAGGCTTTGGAGGCAGACCGATGGTTGGGCCTTTACATATCCACTTAATTCTGGTAATAGCTCTAGCTCCAAAACTTGTTAAATTTGGCAGCAGCGGAACGGTTGAGACATGGCCTTGGTCTGTTGTATCAATCAAGCATTCCAGCTCTTTATCATCTCTAAGTGTAAGAAAAGTTAATTCATTTAGTCCCTGTGGATCTACGCTTGGAATGAGATTTTTGTGATACATGATTCCATCCATGGCAAGTTTTCTGTCATCCTGATAAATTCACAATATAATGAAAAATAGCAGCAACATTAGAAACATATAATTAGATTTCTTTTATTAGGAAAGAGAAAGATTTGAGTTAAAAGAATATTTTTATTCCTCGCTTTTCACTAAAAGTTTGTTACTGCAGAAATTTAAATAATTCAAATTAAGCTGAATATAATTACTGTTTAGAAAGCATGGATAGTGACAAATAATACAGGTATGATATGACATGGATATGACAATTAAACAATTTTAAAAATAAAAAATATGGGTACGGTAAAACATGACAATAAAATATATTTTTATATATTTTTTATCCCTAAATTTTTTATACGAATATAAATTGAACACAATTATAAAATAATTAATGGTATGTGTAAAAGTAAAATAAAATAAATTTATAAACAAGATTTAAATTATATAGGAAAAAATAATCAATATAATTATAATTTTTTTAATTTAATTTTTAATACTAATAAATTATAAAATTTTAAACTTTTTAAATAGTTTCATTTTTCCTTTTTTTCTTTTCTTTTTTTTTCCTTCTTTTTCTTTTTCTTCCTACATTTTCTTCTTTTTCTTTTCTCTCTTTTTCATCCCGTTTCTTCTTTTTTTTCTTTCATTTTCCCCTTTTTCCCTTCCCCAAATCATACGATTTATAAGCTTTATAAATTCAATAATAGTAGTTATTGAATAATATTTTATTATGTACAGAATTAAAAAGAGAAAAAAATACAAAGATTTTATAAAATGTGTTAATAGAGAGAAAAAAATATGTAGTGCTAGTTTTTCTCAACCTGCAAACCATGTAATAAGTATACATTTAATCAACCTTTTTTCTTTTAAACATCAACAGAAGCTAATTATATATAATACTATATAATACTTTTACATTTAAATGTGAATGTACTGAATTTTGACATTTGTGTTATAAGATAAATAATTCAATAAATTATTACCAAAATAAACAAAATTAAAACAAAAATATAGTATAAGAGAAGTACCTTTAAATTGGCCAGCAACGTCTTAAACTCAGTTAATTGGGGACAACTGCGAACCTCGAACTCCTTCAAAGATAATGACATGACAAAATTTTCTGGACAAAAATTTTTCAACTTCTCTAAATTTTTAAGCCTTAAAATTTGCAATCTCTGTAGCACAATCTCTTGTAGCGGACGCCCACCCTTGTCCTTTGTCATATTGAAGACCTGCTTTAGTTGAGAACAATCAGTTATCTCAACAGATTCCAAATAAAGAAGTCCTTGAGCCAAAGTGATTGGAAACACATAATTCAATCTTCCACAATTAATTATCTTGAGAGTTCTCAACTTAGGCCAGTGGAAAGGATAGCCATCCACGTTTGAAACTATTTGATCCTCATTTTCTGCTTCATCGAAGATTAAATGCTCCAAAGAATCGCAATAGCTTATTTCGAGTACTTCCAGATGCTCCAAACTTCGAGCAAGGGGAGTCGAAAAGAGATATGCCAGTTTCGGACATTTCCATATTCTCATAGTCTTAAGACTTTGGAGGTTAACAAGATGGGTGGGCCCTTTCCATATCCACTGTAGTTCTGGTAATAACTCTAGCTCCAAAGAAGTTAAATTAGAGAGTGGTCGTACCTGACATGAATTCATTGATTGCAAAGGTAAATAAATATGAAAAAAACATTACATACAAAGGCAATAATAGTAGTTATTGAATAATATATTTTTACATAAAGAATAAAAAAAAGAAAAAATACAAATATTTTATAAAATGTGTTAATAAAGAGAAAAAAAAAAGTATATAGTATTAGCTTTTCTCAACTTGCAAGCCATGTAATAAGTATAAATTTAGTTTAGTTACTAATATAATTTAATTAAACTTTCTTTCTTTTAAACTTAAACAGAAGTTAATTATATGATCAATATATAAAGTTTAGTAATTTCTCATTATTCATTCAAGGAGAAATGGAGAGAGAACAAGTACCTGAAGCTCACCCATTTCTTGGGGAAAATCAATGATTTGCTCTAATCCATTACAGTAATATATGGAGAGTTTTTGTAGATGCAACAAACTTTGAGCAAGGCAAGGCGGGAAGATCGCTTTCAATTCATCACAACTCCAAATTTTTACAACCTTCAGACTTCGGAGGCTTGCATGATATTGATGGGTTGATTTTGATTTCCATATACTCTCCAATCCTCGTAAAGAAGATAGATCCAAACTTGTTAAATTTGAGAGTAGCGGCGTCTGACTAATTTCTTCCTTTTCAAGAAGCCCATCCATTTCAAATACCACTTTCAACCTCCTACAATCTTCAATGGTCATATCTTTTAACTTTTGTAAGAAGCTAATTGGAGGCGGACCATGGCACAACTCTTCCAAACTAGCCATTTCCCTCATTGTTAAGTTCTCCAAATTAGAGAATGCAAGTTGGTCCTGTTTCTCTGTTTGTGGGTCCACCAAGCATTCCATATCATTGCACTTTTTTAAGCAAAGCGAAGTTAAATCACCTAGGCCCTTTGGATCTATGTTTGGGACAATATTTTTTGTGTCCCATAAATTTTCAGAGCCAACTTTCCACATTGCAGAACAACTCATTGTATGCACTTAATGAAGTTGAGTCAAAAAATTTCCAGGTTCTAAAGTTCGGCTCCACATATATTGGAACATATTCATTTCCAACTATACATGTAGCTTTTGTAGTTTTAGGGAACACAAGTTTTCTGGAAAACATTGAGCAGTAAAACCTCAGTGACAGCCCAGTCAAACGAGACAATGAATTCAACTCCGGTAAGTTAACATTGTTTCTACATATCACGTATAGTTCTTGGAGTGATGTCAACCTATTTGTTACACACAAATACAAAAAGTATTATCAAACACGTAAAGCGGATCATAAAAATAGAAGTAAACATAAATTAATTTTAATTACCTCAGCAAATATAGCATGATTCTTCAGCACCTTTTCTTATAAAAAAAGGTTTGAGCATTTTTTTATTGTTTTGTAATTCATGTGACAATCATGTTATATAATAGCATTTTTTTTTAATGGAAATGACTACAGCTCTGAATGCTTCATGATAATGGGAGTGACCAAAAGCTTAAGGTAGATATTTTTCCCATAGTCTAAAGTCAAATTATTTAATAAAGTAAATAAAAGAAAAATAAATAACATAAAACTAAATACTTAATATTTGGCAATATGATAAAAAAAATAATTGACATCTACTATTACCTTGATAGTAAATTAGGGGGAAAATTGATCTGTTTGCGTGAGACAAAACAATGTAGCGATTTTAGGCCACGCAATGCCGCTAATTCTTCAGGTAGCTCATAAATATTAGTATCAGAAAATGCAAGAATCTCAAGGTTTTTCATATTTCCCAACGATGAGATGTTCTCCAACTCGCATTTTACAAGGCACAGAGTTCGAAGATTTGTTACCAAATTAAGTACTTCCAGTGAGAAAATGACATTTTCGAGACGCAAAACTCGGAGAGCTTTCATTCCTTCAACAAAGGCAATCGGAACTTTCACTAAAGTCTTTCCTGTAAAAATCAAAATTTTGAGTTCTGGAAATTCTAATTTTTCAGGAAAAGAATTTATGTTGCTGTTCCAAACGGAGATTGCTGTACGAGATCCACAACTTTCACTTGTAGGCCATTCCATCAACCCCTCTTTTACCATGAATATATTTTCCCCTGTAGATGTTATCCAATGAGCAAAATCACGAACCAAGTCATGCATCCTTACATATCTTTCATCATCATCATCATCAGTTCTCAATAACAAACCAGACTCCTGGAAGCCTCTTAGTGCTACACGAATTTCTCTCCGCAAGTCTTCAATTAAGGGAATATGAGAAAATAATCCATGACCAATTGCAAACATAACCAACTCCTCAATCTCGATACCCCAATCTTCTGGAAAAAGGGAACACAGCAAGAAACATGTTCGAATATTATCTGGCTTCAAACAATCATAACTCAGCTTAAGGCGGTTGTAGATGTCTTGAGAAACCTCTTCATGTCTTGAGTCCTTGAGTCGCCTCTTCGCTACTTTCCACTCATTTAGATCTGCACCATTTAGAGCTTTTGCGATGGCTACAATTGCAAGAGGCAAACCCTTACATTCAGAAGCAACCTCCTTGGCTACACCATTTAATGTGGAAGAATCATCTTTTAGACTAGCATTAACTTTGAATAAAGCCCATGCTTCACATTTGGATAAGATGTCGAGATGAAATTTCTCTTGACACTTCATTCCATTACAGACTCGTCCACTACGTGCAGTTAGAAGAATTTTGCAACCCTTGTGTTCAATACCGAATGGAATACCTATAGCTTGCAAATTAAAATCAATCCAAGTCCAAACATCATCAATAATTATGAGGATCTTCTCCGCGGCTTTCAATCTTATCCGTAACTCTTCTGCTCTTAGATCTTTCGTACTTTGTTGAAATTTTAAACCTACTATGGCAGCAATTTTATCTTGAATATTGCTGTGTTTGGAGTGCGGGACATTGTAACCATCACAACATAGTCAAAGAGCTTTTGTTCTTTAGCATGCTTCCCAACTTCTTTTGCCAAAGTTGTTTTGCCCACCCCTGGCATTCCATACAATCCAATCATGTTCACACCATTAGTCTTTAGAGCCTTGATGATGTCATTCAAAGTTGAATCTGAAGATTTAGAAGGCACGAAATCCTCAGATGGGAGGAATTCTATCCCCTGAAGCGGAGCAAGGTAGCCCACCCGTTAGAAAGTTACCACTCTCAAGAAGTTTATTGATAGAGATCGTCTTCTTTGCCACTTTCTTACTTAAGCATAATCGCCAACCCCAACTTGGACACCAATTGAAACACTTCATACGTTCTATTTCAGCTTCCAAACACTGGGTTTCTTCCAGTTCTTTCTCTGCCCTTTTTCGCCAGTCTTGGACATCCTTCCCAATTACCTCATTTTGCCTTGCAGCCTCTTCGACTTCATTTTTTATCCGATCACTTTTCAATTCAAGTTCATTTCTCCGATTCTTGAATTCTTCAACAATTTTCCCAAATCGGAAAAAGTAACTAACATAAGGTGATGCATATTCTGTTGTGAGGTTTCCTACAGCATTGGCAGCAGCAGAGGCAACAAATTCAGCAGCCATTCTTTGATGATCTGAGATTGAAAAACAACTTTAATGATTAGTAAACATATAAACTGTTGGAAAAATCAACACGCACACGCAAAATCTATACACAAAATAGCAAGCTCAAATTAAAAATAAAAACACACAAATATATTTGTTTCAGTCTAACTTAAGATCGTCTACTCCAAACCTAATCTACTAACAAATAAAAAAAAGTCTATAGGTACTAATTGTTGAGTAATTGATATGTTATGATGTATGTTTGTAATTCTTTACAACTAGTAAATTTTGTTTCTTATCCATGAACGTAAATCAATTAGACCGAACTACGTTAAATTATTGTATTATATTATTATCTTTTGTGTATTTAATTAATTATTTGATTTCGTTTCTGCTGACGTGATTAGATTGAAGCCTTTTAGCCTAACATAAACAGCTAGAGAGACAAAAGCAATTGTGAATGTTTGCAAAGTACCTTAATTACTTTGAGAGCTAATTGTGAAGTAGAAGAGAAAAATTGTTGATGGATCAACTTGGAAATTGAAAATTCTGCAAATGGAAGAAATTATTCAGTGTTCATGCGTATATTAAGAATATATGTTACATGTGTTAAGAGTAAAGGCAGTATATATTTTGATCATTAATCTATCTAATATTTTCTCAATTTTTAAATAAATCCATTTATTTCATTTTTTTTTCCTTATAAATGCAGTCTTTTATTTAAATAAGGTAGGGAAACAAAAAAGTAAACAACTTTTGAGCATATAAAAAACAATGGAAATAAAAATAATTATTTAAGCATACCTAATTGGCGATGGATCTTCTAAATTAAACTGTGTGGACCCTTTATATCACCAACTCCAGATATCATTAGGAAAGGAGAATTAAGGACCAACCTAAATAGAAATTAAAAGAAAAAGGTAATAAAGATTAGCAGCAATAAAATTATAAGAACATTGAATTTTTTTTTCTTGTTTCTGAAGTTAAAAGCAAATCAGAATAGATATAGCATAAAACAAAATAGAAAATAGAAAGCAAAGAAAGCAAAAAAATTTATACAGCAACACTATTTTCTTTCATTGTGGAGAGAAAAACACAGAAAAAAAGATAAACATACCTAAACCTGAATTCGCAGGATCCGCGCAGATTTTTTTTTAGTTCAAAGAAAACTGAAGCAGAAACCAACTTTATTTCAAATGAACAAAGAGTTTCAAGTATCTACAATTATTGATAAGTTGTGCTGGAAATCTTTGTGACCGATTGAACCTACAAAGAAAAGTTTGATCAAAACTTGTTTAATTTCTTTTGATTCTCTTTTATCATCATTATTACCATTTTCCTTGTTCAAATCCTCAGTGTAAGACAACTAGAAAAGGGCTTATAATAAGATTTTTTATTCTTTTATAAGGTACCAATTATTTGATAATTGATAGTTGTAAATAGACTATTCACAAAAATGCAGAATTCCCTATCTCACCTCTCTAACCATTTACCCTTTTAACTATTTGGTCTGATAGGAAAAAAAAAAGTTAAAAAAATGGAGAAATGGAAAGAGAAGAGGTACCTCAAGCTCACCCATTTCTTTGGGAAAATCAAAGACTTGCTCTAATCCATTGCAGTAACAAACAGAAACAATTGTTGATGGATCAACTTGGAAATTGAAAATTCTGTAGATGGTAGAAATTCTTCAGTGTTCATGCGCATATTTATTAAGAATATACCATACATGTGTTAGAGTAAAGGCATAGTATATATTTCGATGATTCTATCAAATATTTTCTCAATTTTGGAGAATAAAATAGAAATGGTTTATTGGAGCATACCTCACTTGGGATGGATCTTCAAGAGCTATAAGGACTTTTTACTTCACCAACTCCATAGACCTGTGAAGGAAATTCAAGAAGCAGCCAATGTATGGATTTCATATATATGTCAATAAAATAATAATAATAATAATATAGATCGAACCAATGAAAAAAAAAGAAAGAATTGAAACAAAAACGAGTACCTAATTTTTTTTTGGTTCAGTTATTGATAGAAGAGCAACGCAGAAGTGAAACAAAGTGTCTGGCACTGTAGCTAGCCCTAAGATGTGGGGATGATATAAGACGATGCTTTGCTTCAACGGAAACTGTTTGACGACTGATGACAAAGTAATATGATTAAGATAGGTCAGCAACACAGAAGAAAAACCCAACATAAATATAACAAGGAAATATGAATTTTCAAGATCCAAGATGCAGCTTTTATTTCCACCACGCACAACTTATTAAAGACACTGATAAAATTGGTGCAAGTTTTGTTTGAATTCAAAGAAAATTGAAGAAGAAATCAACTTTACTTCAAATGACTAAAAAAAAAATAAAATAATTTTAAAATATAAAAATAAAAATTTTAGATAAAAAAAGAAAATAATTTCCATAAAAAAAAAAAAAGGACTGAGGGAATATTAATTTTTTTTCCCTATTCAAATCCTTAAGAGGAAGACAGACAGCAAGACGGTGTCCCAAACATCGTTTTCTTTTCTTGGGTCCTGGGAGCCACCACGGCTATAATATTAATGGAGTCTAGTCGTGCCAATATGGTGAACATTTATAGTTGAAGCTCAATTTTAAATTCAATGTTTGAAATTTAATTTAAATTGGAATGAATTTTAATTTTTCAATATAAATTTAATTTGAGATAAAAATTAAATTAAATTTATTTATTTATTGAATAAAAATTAAATTTAATTGTTTAATTTTAAATTCAATTATTTATTTGTAAACAAAATTTGAATTCAAATTAACATATATAAATAAAATAATAAAAAAATATATTAAATTAATATAATAACTCAATTAAACTCACAAATTATTCAAACTAATTATTAAAATAATAAACTTCTACTCTCTCAATATATCAAATTATTTGAATTCAAAATCAACTCTATATAATTATATGAATTTTGAATTTTGTTGCCTACTAGCCTTTACGTACTTAGGAGCAATATATTTTAAGTTCACACCTTTAATCATTTGTGGTACTATGAATTTTTGATGAAATCATCCATATCACTATCACGATTGTCAGGTCTTCATAGCTTTTGCTAGTGGGACATGGCATCATTTATAAACTTCTGAATTATTGATCCCTTTTATTTTTCTCTTTCTTCAATTATTTTTCAGCTATAATTTTCTCACCTACTCAGTTTTGTTGGTTTTCATGGATTGGATTCTGTATCAAATTATGCCCCATGCAATGCAATTATATTTAATGACCAAACAAACAAAAGAAAGGGTTAATGATTATAAATCTCTTTTTTTTTTCCTCCATTGATTCATCCTAACACTTGAAAGAAGTAAATTTTTAGATTACCTTAGCTGATATGCTGTTAAGTATCTTAATAACTTTCGGAGCAACATATAGCTCTATGAAAATGAGAAGTAAAAGAGAACAAATTGTTGATGGATCAACTTTGGAAATTAAAAATATTGCAGATGGAAGAAATTATTCAGTGTTCTTGCGATATTAAGAATATATGTTACATGCGTTAGAGTAAGGGCATAGTATATGTTTTTATCATTAATCTATCTAATATTTTATCAAATTTTAAATGAATCTATTTATTTCACTTTTTTCCTTATAAATGCAGTTTTTTTTTTAATATGCCAGGGAAACAAATAAGTAAACAACTTTTGAGCATATAAAAAATTATGGAAATAAAAATAATTATTTAAGCATACCTAATTAGGGATGGATCTTCTAAATTAAATTGTGTGGACTTTTTACATCACCAACTCCAGAGATCATTAGGAAAGGAGAATTAAGAACCAACCTAAATAGAAATTAAAAGAAAAAAGGTAATAAAGATTAGCAACAATAAAATTATAAGAAAATTGAATTAGTTTTTTTCTTTTTTCTGGAGTTAAAAGCAAATCAGAATAGCTATAGCATAAAACAAAATAGAAAGCCAAGAAAGCCAAGAAAGCAAAAAAAATTATACAGCAACGCTATTTTCTTTCATTCTAGAGACAAAAACACAGAAAACAAGGTAAATATACCTAGGAAACATGAATTCTCAGGATCCACGCAGATTTTTTTTTTCTTTTGCGTTCAAAGAAAACTTAAGTAGAAACCAACCTTGTTTCAAATGAACAAAGAGCTTCAAGTATCCACAAATATTGAGACGTTGTGCTTGAAATCTTTGTGACTGACTGAAACTACAGAGAAAAGTTTGATCAAAGATTTTAATTTCTTTGGATTCTCTTCTATCATCATTATTATCATTATGCTTGTTCAAATCCTTAGTGGGACATGGCTTCATTGATGCACTTTTGAATTATTGACCCCTTTATTTTGTCTTTTTTCAATTATTTTTCAACAATCACTTTCAACCCTACTTTATTTTGTTGGTTTTCATGGATGAAATTCAATGCGTTGAAAGATTTAATGATTCAAAATCTTTTTTTTTCCTCCATTGATTTATCCTAACGTATAAAAAAGTAGTTTTCTAGATTATCTTAGTTGATATATTGCGAAACTCCACTGCTTACATAAATTTATCAAAATTAAAATATTATAATAAGACTTTTTGCTTTTTTTATAAGATAATAATTATTTAATAATTGATACTATTCTTATTTCAAAATATTTTTCAGGTATTGATTTTCACGGACTTTTAAAAGAAATTTTGATTTTAATATATTTAATATTAAATTTTAATTTTTTATAAAATTAAAATTTAATAATTTTTAATGTTAAAAAAAAAAAATAAAAACATAAAGTAATTTTAAAATATAAAAAATAAAAATTTTAAATGTTAAAAAAATATAGGACATATTTGGAACATCCCAAAGATATAACACAAATAAATAAAAAAAAGGAACAGAAGGAGTAGTTATAAATAGATTTTTCACACAAATGCATAATTCCTCATCTCAATTCTCTATCCATTTACTCTTTTAGCTATACTTTTTATTTTGTCTCAGGGTAAAAGAATAAGTAAAAGAAATGGAGAAATGGACAGAAAAGAGGTACCTCAAGCTCACCCATTTGTTTGGAAAAATCAAAGACTTGCTCTAATCCATTACAGTAACAAACAGAAACAATTGTTGATGGATCAACTTGGAAATTAAATTTTCAGCAGATAGTAGAAATCCTTCAGTGTTCATGCGCGTATATATTAAGAATATATCATAATGTTTTAGAGTAAAGGCATAGTATAAATGCAGTTTTTATTTAAATTTGGTAGGGAAAGAAACAAGTAAAGAACTTTGGAGTAAATAAAAAATTATGAAAAATTAAAAAATATATATATTATTTAAGCTTACCTAACTAGGAATGGATCTTCTAAATTAAGGTACGTGGACGTTTTACATCACCAACTCCACGGATCTTTAGGAAGGGAAAATTAAGGACCAACCTAGATAGAAATTTAAAAAAAAAGGGTAAAAAAATCAACAACAATAAAATTGTAAAAACATGAAATTATTTTTTTTCTTTCTTTGGAGCTAAAAGCAAATCAAAATATATACAGCGTGAAACAGAATAATACAGTACTTTTTTATCATTAAAAAAAAAAAAAAGAAAGCAAAGAAAGCCAAAAAGATGCAGCAACATTATTTAAGTTAATGTATTTATTATTCCTCTTGCCTGTTTAAGTTAATACTTTTTACGATATTTTTAGTTTTAAAATATCAATCTTTTTTGCCTTTTTTATCCTTAAAAGTATTTTTAAGCCATCTATCTTATCTATTTTCTAGAAGATAATTAATTTAAATTTTCTGTAGCCTACTTTATTCTTATTTTCATTTATATTTAAAATTTTCTTAACTCATTATTAAATGTTATGATATTTTTAATTTATTTTACGTCAAATGATATTAATTTTATTATATTTTTTATTTGTTTATGTTAATTTAAATTTTACATTACTAACTTAATTATTTATAATAAAATAATATTTTCTTACACTTATTCTTTCATTTTATTACATTTAAAATTTTTATAACTTTTCTTAAAATATTACAATACTTCTAAACTATTTTATATCAAATGATATGAATTTTATTACTCTTCTCACATGTTTATGTACATAATTTTAAAAAAAATGTATTTTCAAATATTAATTTTTTAACATTGTACTTTCTTTGTCATTCTTTAAAGTATTTTTTAGTCATTAGTCTAAAAATATTTACAAAAATAATTAATTTAAGTTTTACATATGTCAATTTAATTATTTATATTAAAATAATATCATCTTAAGTTTGATCTTATCATTAATTACATTTAGAATTTTAGTAGCTTTTTTCTTAAAGCGGTACGACGCTTTTAATCAATTTTATATCAATAATATGAATTTTATTATTATTCTCACCTGTTTGTATTTATTTTTGTCTTCCATTAGATTTAAAATTTTCATAAGTTTTTCTTAAGGTGTTACAACATTTTAACCTATTCAACTTCAATTAATACCACTTGTATTATTACTCTTAGCTTTTTATGTTTATTTTCATCCCTTTTTTTTTTTTACATTTACAATTTTCTTAACTGTTTTCTTAGGATGTTAAGGCACTTTCAATCCATTTTATGTCTTACTATTCATTTGACATATTTACGCTAATAATTTTTTATTTTTAAATATTAAATTTTAAAATTGACTTTTTTTTTTGCCTTTAAAGTATTTTTTACCCACTAGCATAAAAATATTTATAAGAGAAATAATTATTTAAAATTTAAGTTGTCAATATAATTATTTACTGTAAAATGATATATTCTTTCACTTATTCTTATTTGCTATTATGTTTAAAATTTTTATAACTTTTTCTGATAGCGTTAAGATACTTCTAATCCATTTTAGACAAATTGATACAAATTTTATTGTTACTCTCACCTATTTACTTTTATTCTTACCTTTATGTTTGAAAGTTTCATAATTTTCTTAATGTTACACGCATTTATAACTTATTTTGTGTCCATTAATATGAATTTAATATTACTCTCACCTTTTAATATTTATTCTTAACTTCTATTACATTCAAAATTTTCATAGCTCTTTTTTAGCACGTTACAACATTTCTAATCTATTTTATGTTAAATGAGGCGAATTTAATTTTTCTTCTCACCTATTCATGTTAAAATTTTTTTGAATTTTTTTATTTTTAGATATTAATTTTTAATGCTATATTTTCTTTTAGCCTTTAAAATATCTTTTTAGCCATGACCTAAAAATATTTATAAGAAAATTAATTAATTTAAATTTAAGATGCCAACTGAATTATTTATATCAAAATAATATTTTTTTATGTTTACTCTTGCTTTCCATTATACTTAAAATTTTTATAATTCTTTATTAAGATGTTACAATAATTGTAACTCATTTTACTACAAATGATATGCATTTTATTATTTCTCTCACATGTTTGTGTTAATTTTTTTTTGAAGATTATTTCTCACATATGTTTACATTAATGATTTTTTTTATTTTTTTTATTTTCAAACATTAATTTTTTAACATTTTCTTTTTTTTTACTTTTAAGTATTATTTAGTCATTGGCCTAAAAATATTTATATGAATAATAATTAATTTAAAATTTACGTAACAATTTAATTATTTATGTTAAAAAATATCTTTTTACATTTATTCTTTCCTTTCATTATATTTAAAAGTTTTATAATTCTATCTTAAAACATTATGTCACTAACTGATATGAATTTTGTTATTCTTCTCAACTATTTACGTTAATAATTGTTAAAATATATTTTAAAATGTTAACTTTTTATGTTATCTTTTTTGCCTTGGAAGGATTTATGCGGAGAAAATGATAGAAGACGATGCTTGATTGCTTCAATAGAAACTGTTGGAGGAGAGAGTTGTAAGAGTAGGATAAGGCAGCAACACAACAGAATAAAAGATAGAAACAACAGAGAAATTTGTAGTTTCAAGATCCAACAACTTTGCTTCAATTGAATAAAAAATTGAACCATCAAAGACTTCGCTGAGCAATTGAAACTACAGAGAAAAGTTTCACCAAAGACTTCTTTAATTTCTTTGGAGTCTTTGTTTATTATTATTGTAATTACTATTTTTCTTATTCTAATCCTTAGTGGAAGACGATTAGACAAGGGCCTGAACGTCTCTAACTTTTCTTGGGAGCTGTACCTTCTGTAATTTATTATTATATTACGATTTAATATTAAACTTTGTCATTGGATTTTTAATTTATTGATTTTTGAATAAAAATAATAAACAAAAATATTTTCAAAATATTCTATTAATATAAGTGAAAGATTTATGTTAATTTCAATTTTTTTACGAGTTCTAAGATAACTCATGAAATACAAGCAACTTTGCTTCAAATGAAAAAAAAAATCCATAAATATAAAAAAGTTCTACTTAAAGTCTTTGTAATTAATTAAAACTACCTAAAAAAAATAGGTCAAAGACTTCTTTAATTTTTTTGGAGTCTTTTAATAATAATAATAATATTATTATTATTACGAAAACCTTAAGTGGAAGACAACTTGACAAGGGTCCAAAGTACCACCATTTCCTTGTCTTGGGAGAACTACATTTAAGTTCACACCTTTAATATTTTTTTTCTTTTCTTTCGAAGAAGTCTGATCGTTATCAAAGATTGCCAGCTTGTTCTTTATAGCTTTGTTAGTGAGATATGACATTCACTATTGAATTTTTGGTCCTGTTACTTTTGTTTTTTTTTTAATTATTTTTCAGCAGTGATTTTCTCACCAACTTGATTTGGTTGGTTTTCACGGGATTACATTCTGTATCAAATTATGCAACATGCGATACAAGATTTAATGCCCGACAAACTAAATCTTCATTTTAATTAAAATAAAGAGACAAATTTCATAATTTGACATTTATGGATAATTTTAATAGTTGTTTTATAAATTTAAAAAAATCAAAAAAATTGTTCGAAGAGCTGTATAAAAAATATAAAAAATTTTATTAAATATATTAACAATAAAATTTTTTAATTTTATAAATGAAATTAAAATGATAATATATCTTTTACATATTTAAAAAATTTAATTTAAAAAATAAGATATGTATTATTATTTTAATCTAATTTATAAAATTAAAAATTTTCAGTATTAATTTATCAAATAATTTTTTGAAATATAATTTCAAAAGTTTGTAAAAATTATGAATAAATTAATTTTAAAAATTAAAATCAAAGTCAAAATAAATAACATTAAAAACCTATTAATTTTCCTACTATTGTCATTTCCATTTTTCTTATTCAAATCCTCTTGAAAGACAGCAAGAGAAGGGGCGAAGCATCTTTTTCTTTTACTAAATTATTTAACCAGTAAATAAAAGTGCAATGGCACATGCATTTAGCAACAAATTGACCGCACATGCAGGTCACGTGCGCTTTAACAGTGCCTTTAACTGGTTTGTTAAAGTTTTGTTTGTTTCTTTGTTGGTGGAATCTTTTTCACTGTTTCTAAAAAAAATTAAAGTGTTTTCCTTATCATTCACGGCGCAAATACTGGTTTTATGACACGACGCTTTCAAGGGGCATAGGATCTCAATGTTGTTCATATTTAATAAAAAATTTAATTTTTGATCTGAACGAAAACAAAAACAAATATTATATTATATAAATAAAAATAAAAATAATTTTAAATTTTTATAAAATACGAATATGAAAACAAGTATGAAAAAAATAATATAACACTTATTTCATATTTATATCTTATATATTTATATATAATTAATAAATAATTTTTTATTAAATAATATAAATTATTGTTTTAAATTAATTAGAATAAATATATTTTTATTAAAAAATATCTAATAGGTATTTATTAAAAATTATCTATATATTCAAATTTAAACTAAAAAATAAAAAAATAATTTTTTATTTTTTAAAGACTAAAAAAATAAAAACTACTCATATCTATTAAATATTTATAAAAATAAAAATAAATTTAAAATATTTAAATATAAAAATAAATATAATATAAAACTATATAAATAAAAATAAAAATTATTTTATCTTTCCCGTATCCGAGTCATTCACGTCCCTAAAAGGAAACGTATGAGAGACAGCAACCAATTACGACCTGCGAGGCCAGCACAGGCGTGCCTTTGGTCT